GAAACTTAGTAAAAAGTTCTCTGGATGTAATATCAAATGCACAATTATAGTCTGTTATTAAATATCAGCAGATAGTGAAGAGATTTGAAAAAACAGATATTTAATATGTCTTAGCAAAAGAAAGCAAAAAAGTACTCTCAGTGACTGTCTAAAAGTTAGTTTAGGTTGGTTAATCTTGATATCATCTGGTTCAGAATTCGCAGAGAGCCTGTTATTAAAGAAGGAACTTTAACTATGGTGTTTGTTTTTTTTCATATTCAAAAACCCAAAACTTATTTTTCTGAACTCAATTGCCACTACTGTAGACTAGACAGTAATGGTGTGAATCATGCTGTGCTTTGAAATACATTTCATTTCCTAACCATGATCCCACTCAACACATAACACACATGCACATACACACACGTTATTCACTTATAGAAGCCAGTCGTGAAGAGGCTTCCTCACCTTGCTTTTCAGTTATTAGCTCTGTGTACCCTGCTGCTTGGAAAGGAGAGGAGGTAGGGCCAAAAATAAGAGCAGGATTTACAATGACTTGACCATATGCTGCCTTTCCCTCAGGCATTAGAAAGCCCAGTAAAGAAAAGCCAACTCCATTATTTGATGAACAGGTGCCCTGACTTTGACCCTCACCATCAGCTCTCAAAATTATTTTGTTTGCTATAACCACATGGCACCCATGTTATATTTTTATTGTTGTGGACAAAAACTTGAAAAGATTCCCCTTGAGTGGTCCTTAATTTTCTGTATTCATTTTAACAGAGTTGATTTGGAATTACATGTGGTCCCTGAACTAACATGGTTCAGCTTGGGATGATTTTTAGACTTTACGATAGCGCAAAAGCCATAGGAATTCAATAGAAACCATACTCGAATTTTGAATTTTGATCTTTTCCTCAGCTAATAATACATGCTACAGTACCCTTTCGTGATGCTGGGCAGCTGCAGTGAGCACAGCCCCCAGCCTCACCATCACAGGGGTCCACAACCAATACACTTGGACCCATTTTGTACCCATACAACCATTCTGGTTTTCACCTTCAGTACGCTATTCAATAAATTAGACAGGGTATTTAATATTTTAGTATAAAATAGGCTCTGTGTTAGATGATTTTGCCCAGCTGTAGGTTAATGTAGGTGTTCTGAGCACATTTAAGAAACAAGCTAGGCTAAGTAGAATATTCAGTAGGTTAGGTGTATTAAATGCATTTCCAACTTAGGATTTTCAATTTATGATGGGTTTTTGGGACGTAACCCCATCGTAAGTTGAGGAAGATCTGTAATTGTGTAAAGGTAGATAATATCTCCTGTGACTCTTCCTTTTATGTGAGAGTAAAGGAATTTTGTATGACAGCACAATTAGTGTAGAATATATGTGTGGTGCTCATATGCATCTGTTTTGGATTTTAAAGAGTTTCATAGGTTATAGTCTGCCAGACCAAACTTAATTCCAAGCTTTCTGTTTATAATATTGTCCAATTATCAAAGCTGGGATATATTATCACTGCCAGTTACTCATGCTGTCAATTTGTTTTGGCTCAACTATGGTTCTATTTGTAGTTTATTATAATGTAGTGAATACATTGGATTGGGTTGTTAGTTTAACAAGCTCTCTGGAGAACACTTTCATGATGATGCATGTTGAGATATGCTAGGTAGCCTTAAAGTTATTTGCGTATTTGCCAAAGCCTACAGAAATTCATTCATTAGGAATTTTAAAAAGGATCAGCTCTCAATCTACAGATTGAGGTAAAGATTACATTTGTAAACATGGGAGTGTTAAGTCATGAGTCCCAGCTAAATTTCTTTAGGGGTCTTGATGTGACCAATTTCTCCCTTTTCTCATAATTTTACTGGATGAATTATGTCATATCCTTTTAAAAAAGTATTCCATTAGTTAGGTTGTTATTGACTCTTGTGCTCTGTGCAGCTTGCGATGCTGTGGGTACTCTGTGATCTTGGCCAGATATTGAGCTGGGAGTTAAAGAAAATGTTATCAGAGATTAGAACTGACTGGGTTGTTAATATTTACATTGTGTTCAGCTGGTTTTAAAATGTGCACATTGGGGCGCCTGGGTGGCGCAGTCGGTTAAGCGTCCGACTTCAGCCAGGTCACGATCTCGCGGTCCGTGAGTTCAAGCCCCGCGTCGGGCTCTGGGCTGATGGCTCAGAGCCTGGAGCCTGTTTCCATTCTGTGTCTCTCCCTCTCTCTGCCCCTCCCCTGTTCATGCTCTGTCTCTCTCTGTCCCAAAATAAATAAACGTTGAAAAAAAAAATTAAAAAAAAAAATAAAAATAAAATGTGCACTAAAATTGCTTCCTGTGCCCACCTGAACCTTTTGCATCAAAATTTCCAGAGTCTGGGTCTGGGAATCTGTATCTTGAAAATGCTCCTTTGAACTTTCTGGATTCTGAAAATGTTCTAGTATATTTATCTGATAGTTGTTATGCAAATATATATATATATATATATATTTGCATAACAACTATATATATATATAACAACTATATATATATATATATATATATATATATATATATATATATGTTAAAACCCTTCACTGTGTCTATTTAAGATTTACGTGCTTCATTCTAGTATTTTCTTTAATACCTCAATTTAAAAAAAGCTTTTAAAGGGGCGCCTGGGTGGCGCAGTCGGTGAAGCATCCGACTTCAGCCAGGTCAGACCATCTAGCTGTCCTGCGGAGTTGAGCCCGCGCAGGCTCTGGGTGCTGATGGCTCAGAGCCTAGAGCCTGTTTCCGATTCTGTGTCTCCCTCTCTCTCTGCCCCTCCCCCGTTCATGCTCTGTCTCTCTCTGTCCCGAAAAAAAAAATTAAAAAAAAAAAAAAAAAAAGCTTTTAAAAAATGCACTCTCCCGATTTCATCAAGCAGCTTGCAGTGGTCACTTAATAAACACTATTAATTGCCCACTGTTGACATTGTCATGACCCAAGAGTAGATGACAAAGTAGGTCTTGGCTCTTGGGAGCATAAAATCTGGTGGAAGAGAAAGTGATGATACATAATATAAAGCTTTATAGTTTATGAAGTCTTTTTGTACAGATGATCTCATCAACACTGTGGCTTATGGGCAATTTATGACGTCCATGTTTTTTATTAAACTTACCCAGGATTACTGAGCAAGTAGGGAGTAGCTGCAGGACTTTAAATGGAGTCTTCTGTAACAGCCTATCATTTCCCAGAAATCAAAATGCTTCGATTAACAACAACAACAACAACAACAAAAAACAAAACTAAAATCAAAAACCTCACGTGGAGGAAAAAGCTAACTTATTTATGGAACTATAGAAGCCAGTGTCAAGAGGGTTCTTATGGATGTGGGATCTGTATCCGTTTTCCGGCAGCCTGTTTTCTCTTCATGTTGCCTATTTGTCATGTCACAGTTGCCCATTTGGACTCTGGAATTTTAGCATGTTGAGCTTTCTCTAGTTTGTGATGTTTGTAGAAAAAATTTTAATTGAAATGTCTTGCTTTTTTGGCCTTTCTAATTTTCAGTCCTTCATTTTCAAATTCTTGAGATGTATTTCCAGGTGATGCTGGCCAGTGATAGATAACATTCTTCCTGATTACATTTAGCATTTATTATTTGTTCCATAGTGTTTGGTACTTGATCATTTCCCATTCAGCTCTTTTTTGCTGTCATGTATTGTTTTTTCTTTACACAAATTTTGTCTTCCTAACAAAAATATAAACTCCTTGAGCATGAGACTAACCCATGTGGTGACAAATAGTAGGACTTACTAAGACCTGTTTGACATTAACAATACACCTGCTTGGTTTTTCCTCCCTTCTGTTTCCCCTCTGTGTCGTCTTACACCTGCTAAGGTTTGCTGCTCTTATGGCGTTGGGGTAGGAAAGGGTGGAACTAATGATGAGCTTCTTACGTGGGATCTCCAGGTCCCTAAACCTATGGATGTTGGTGGCATGAACTCTAGGATAGGGCTCAGAGCTCTCTCACCTTTCCTTCCTTTTCAGTGGGTAACTTCAGTGATAGGAAGTCTTGTCATTATTGGCTTACAGCTGTGCCAAGAAACCATGTATCCCTTTGCTAGTCATCATCACCTGAGGAACCTTTTCAGAATAGTGTAACATTTGCCTGTTTTACTCCTTTACGATCACCACCACTGCCCTTCCTAGGGTATGTCAAGAACCACTAGTATTCATGTTTATACAGTAACTTCCTTTTTCAGAAGGTAGGGTGTGGTCTCCAATATGGGAGTATTGGGGTATATATATCAATATCAACTTAAGAATTTGTTGATGGTCCTGATTGTGCAGAATGAAATTACTGCTTTTCAAGCCTTCACCCCGTATATAAACTGACTATATCTCTTGCATACTCTTGAATTATGTCTATCTACTAGATCTCTGGGCTCACAAGATTCCATAAAAGCCCCTCTTTCTATCATAGTCTTTTAATTGAACTAGATATTCTTCCTTGTTCAGTAATGCTCTCTTTATATATTAAAATGATCCTTATTTCTTCTGTAAAGCAGTGTTTTGTTCCTTTGGGTGTTCTCCCTCTTTAAGTAAGGCTATGGGCAATTTATTGCCCATTTATTAAATACAATAAATTTAAAGGTAGAGTGACTGCCGAGATCAACTTAAGAGGGAGTGCTCCTGCTTATTGCTTTGTGGAAAAACTCATCTTCCCAAACTTTTGGGTAATTTTCTCTCACCTGCATCAGAATTCTAGTTAAAATTATATCCTTAACTTCTGAATATTATGGAACTCAATAATTTTTTATGAAAAGCATGTTGTAATTTAGAAAGACTGTGGACCTGTAGTCTAAATTGCTGAGCTAAAATTAGGTCCTTAGAAATTAGCCTTCTGCTACCACCACCATCTTTCCTACTGCCCCTCTTCATGCATATTTGCAGGTTGATCCCTGCCTTTTTAGGTTTCTCTTTATCCAGGATAGCAACTTTGGGCATGTAGAAGATATGTCCTGACTGATGTGCCTGCCTTTCTGTTTCTAGGTGGGCCATGCACAGACACAGCTCATGTCTCGTTAATCACACCAACCAAAAGATCCTGTGGTACAGGTACGTACATCATTCTTATCTGGATTCATTCTTATCTGGATTCTTCACAGAAATTAGTTACTGGTTTAAACATGGTGTCTTTGCCAGGGCATTCTCTAATTTCTTACATCAGTTGTGAAGGTGATGTATTTATTATGTGCTAAGTTCTGGGAGTGGCAGTGGAGTGAACAGGGGGTCACAGTGGTGCTCTTAGAGGTCAGAATGAGTTAATGCTGGCAGCTAGAACCAAGAAGGGTGGACATGAAAATTTACCTACTTCCTAATATCTGAAGAATACTATTAAGACATGAAACATACAGAAAATACAAGTAATTGCCTAGTTTCTGGCATGTGTCTAATTTGTCTGTCTTGGACCTACTGAAAAAAAAAAAACATTGTTTAGATAATGGAGGTGGAAGGTGAAAGAAGTTGTGGTACAGATAATCAACGTTTTAACTTGATAATTATAGTATCCTAATAGTTTTAGAAAATTTTTTTCCATTTGTCTTAAAGCCAGAGGTATGCTGAAGTCATTCTTTTTAGATGCATTGAATCCCAAAAACATCTTTGTGCATCTGTGACATTTTTATTAGACATGAAGTCATGAATCTTACAACTTTCTTTTTTTTTTTTTTTTTTTTTAAATTTTTTTTTTTCAACGTTTATTTATTTTTGGGACAGAGAGAGACAGAGCATGAACGGGGGAGGGGCAGAGAGAGAGGGAGACACAGCATCGGAAACAGGCTCCAGGCTCTGAGCCATCAGGCCAGAGCCCGACGCGGGGCTCGAACTCACGGACCGCGAGATCATGACCTGGCTGAAGTCGGACGCTTAACCGACTGCGCCACCCAGGCGCCCCTCTTACAACTTTCTAAAGAGCAGTCGTAATGTCCATTGCTCCCTTAGTCTGTAGCTTCATTTACTTTAAATAATATTTGCCTTTTCTAATAATGCTGCCTACTATTTAAAATAACTTAAAGATTATATTTTGAGGAGTCAAAGTAATTATATTGTTTTTCTAAAGGTCACAAAGTCTTTTTCCCCAGTAGAAATAGCACAAACTATTTCTGTGTACAAAGTTAAACTGAAACCTCAGTCCCTTTAAATGCTCATAGTTTTGATGTTAAACCTGAAATAGGCCTGTCCTTGCACAGTTTTAGAGTAAGATCCAGGCATTGAACTCTGAGGAACTTAAATTTACTCTCCTATACTAGTATTGAGGCAAGGTGTGAGATAGTCCTGGCATGCTCTCATCCTTTCTATGCCCAGCACCCAAGCTCCCCTCAGTAGTTCGTGGTTAAGATAGAAGTGAGCTGTGTCATGGGGTAAGACAGGCCATCCTGACCAGCCAGTAAGAAGTCAGAGAGCCAGCTTCCTACCCACTTCAGCCAGAAGCTTGGAAACACTCAGAGCCCTTTCATCTCAGCACTTCACATGCACACTACACTTTAGTCTTTCTTCTTTCCTTTCAGTCTTTGATCTCAGGGCAGACTTTACCATTGGCACTACTAACATGTTGAGGTAGTCAGGGAATGGGCCTCAAGTACCTTGAGTCATCCTCAGAGACTTAGGAAGGAGGCTCATGCTCAGCTTAGACACTGAAACTAGCAGGAACTCTTCCTGAATATCATGTACTTGTGTGCTTCATTTTCTAGGCATATCTGTTTCCTCTGTTCTGCTTCATATATCCAAACATAGTAACAGTGTTTATTGCATGCTTACTACATTACCAGGTACCATTCAATATGCTTTACATACATACTCATTTCATTTTCAGAACAGTTCTGCAAGATAATTACTCCTCCTTTATAGATGACATAAATGGGCACTCAGAAAGTTAAGTATATTCATGGGGTGGTAATATTACTAGTAAGAGTCAGGACTTGAACATGGATCTTTTTTTTTTATTAAGTTTTAAAATTTAATTCCAGTATAGTTGACATACAGTATTATTTTAGTTTCAGATTTACAATATAGTGACTCAAATGTGTACATCACTCAGTGCCCACCATGCTAGGTGTACTCTTTAATTCCCACCACCTGTTTTCACTCATTGCCCCACCCACCTCCCCCTGTTTACTGCCACTTTGTTGAACACAGATCTTTGAGATGCTAAAGCCATTGTTGTTTTCTGCAATATAACGTCACTGGGTATTGCATTTTATTGTAATTACTTATACTCCCAGCCACACTGTGGAAAAGCATATCATTGATGAATTATGGAGATAGAGAAACACAAGATTTTGAAACATAGCATTTTGTGAAGTAGTTTGAAAATGCAAGTTCTACAGGGTGCCTGGGTGAGTCAATTAAGTGTCTGAATCTTGATCTCAACTCGGGTCTTGATCTCAGGGTCATGAGATCAGGGTGTGAAGGCTACTTAAAAAAATAATAATAAAAGTGTGAGTTCTAGAAGCAAATCAGGTGTCAGATCCTAGCCTGACCATTTACAAAATGTGATTCTGAGTAAATAAGTTAACCTCTCAAAATTTGTTCTTCATCTGTAAAATGGATAATGAATCTGTCTCGTAGGTTTGATGTGAGAAATACTATGCATAAAGCTCACATAATAGGTCTTCAATAAGGGTAGGTGCTGTCACTAAAGATTATATGTATATGATTGCCAACTGTATACACATGGTATTGATATTACATTAATAGGTAGTTTAGGCAGAAAGGAGTAGATTATAATTTACCAGAATGTATTGCCATATCTACTTTCATTAATTGATTTTATGTTGATCACATTCTGTTCACATTATGTTGTTGTATGTCAGTACTATGTTAGGAACTGAGGAGGGTAATATTTTTAGGTCTCCACAAATGAAATGATAAGGGAGGCATTGAGCTCTCAGTGATACATTTCCAGGCCTCATTTTGGGGGAACACATACCTCTTAACTAAAAAGAGATTGAGAATTTCTGGCTTGGAAGGACATTAATGCAACATGCAAGTTGTCTCCAAAAAGTCTGAAAGAAAGTTGAGATTTCTTAGCTTGGACATTAAAGGCCATCAGGTTCAGCCTGCTGCACTTCTTTTCAAGAAACCTATCTGTGCCCCCTCAGGCTCCTTGAGCTAGGTGGATGACTTCAGCCTTACACAATGGCTTGACTCTAGAGGGCAGAACTTCCTGATTTTCAGAGGTAAATTAAATGATTTGCTTTGGGAATCACAGGTTGACTGTCTTTGTTTCCATCTTTCTGTTCTGAAATTAGCAGGTTGCTCATCATGGGGATTCTGGGCATTTTTCCTATGAATCACCACCAATTACTTATTGTTATGTTGCTGCAGTGTCTTGTATTCTTTATGTCTAAGTTCTTCAAGAATAGGACTCATGCCTCTAACACATGCCCTGTAGTGCTTCTGCCACAGTGGGTACCGTAATAGTAGCTCTCCTAACGGTCTCTCAGAACACAGGCTTCAGGCATAGATGATCAGTAAAAGATTATCTTACAGCCACATGTTATTTCTTAGGAGCTGTAGAGTGAGACCTTCTGACTATACCAACTCTTCCCAGCTAATCTATCCATACAGATTTGGTCCTAAAGCATCCTCTAGCGTAATAATGACGTGAAATTAGAAAAAGAATACGTAACTTAGTCTAGAATAAAGTGGTTCTTTAAGTCGGTGGTCCCTGAAGAAGGGCATACAATATAAAAGGCTGTGAAGTATAGGGAGAAAATAGTAAAAGCTCTTTATGTCAGGCTTTTAAAAGTTCTGTTTTGCAGATTGATTTCATAATTATATATTAGTCCATGCACATACTTTAAAGCAAGCAAATACACATAGAAATATATATTTTATTTATTTTTTTAATGTTTATTTATTTTTGAGAGAGAGAGAGAGACAGACAGAGCATGAGTGGGAAGGGACAGAGAGAGGGGGAGACAGAATCTGAAGCAGGCTCCAGGCTCTGAGCTGTCAGCACAGAGCCCAATGTGGGTCTCAAACTCAGGAACCACAAGATCATGACCTGAGCCAAAGTCGGATGCTTAACCAGACTGAGCCACCCAGGTGCCCTGAGAAATATATATATGTGTGTGTGTGTGTGTGTGTGTGTGTGTGTGTGTGTGTGTGTGTGTGTGTGTGTGTGTGTGTGTGTATGTATATACACATAGCTATATACATACGTACATATATAGGTACATAGCTAAATGTCTTAGATAGGTGTTTACACTCAGAAAAGGTTAGTGATCTCTTCAGTAAATATGTCATTTCTTTTTAGTACTTTGAAAATTAGATATGAAGATTAGCATCAGACATGTTATTATATGATTTTAATACGTGGAATGGTTGATTATGTCTCTGTTTACATTTCAGGTGACTACTTCTTGATCAGTGGGTATTGTAATTTAGAGAGGTGGACAGTGGTGTAGAGTGGTTGGTCTGCAACCATCAAAATGAGAGGGGGAACTCTTTTAGAAATTGCTTTGTGAGGATTGTGAGTCTCAGAAGCGGATTACAAAAAGGAACAGTAGTGGCAAATGAAAGATCAGTTTGTATTTGTGAGCTTGCTGAGAAATGACTTTTTGTTAGATGCTGGCTTTTAGCCACATAGAACTATTAACATTTAGACTCTTTGTAATCTTTGGATGGAAAACACACACACACACACACACACACACACACACACACACACACACACAGTGATCATTGTGGTTTTCAAGCAGAGAAAAATGAAGTGAAGGTGCGTGCGGCTTTGTGATATCAACAGTCAGCAAAGAGTTGAAAAATGCTGCCAAGTCCCAGGTTGCTTTTGGTTAGAATGTGAGAGTTAAAGCATTTCATACTTTCAGATTACTAGAGAGAACTCACTTTTTTCCAAGAGCTCAGAATGGTTTGCACATGTTCCCTTGTTAATTCTCACAACTTCTTGCCAAGAATGAGTATATTATGAAAGAAATAGTTCATTTTCCTTGGTAACAGACTACCGGAAGATTCCCTTTTGTCCTTCATCTTTTCTATCAAGTTCTACCTTAAGCCAAAATGTTGTAATCTAAGCTGTGGTCTAGATAGTTTTA